ATAATTAGGATGTTATAAAATTGTAGAGAATGGCCAAATTTGGAGTGTCTTGGGATTAAGGAAGGCTTCACAATGGCAGTCAATTCTAAACTGGTTGTTGAAGATTGAGGAGGTATTCACCAGGGGCAAAGAAAGAAGTACATTTTAGTAGGAGAGAATAAATTGATCATGGACATGGTATGACATGGTGTGTCTCTGTCATATTTGAAGACATAGAAGTAATTCAGTCTAATTGGAACATTTGAATATATGTAAGAATAAGTGGGAAGACAGAAACAGATAGGAATTATAGTCAGGTGTCAGATGTTTGTGTTTATATCTTGATAAAGAGATTTTATAGTCCTCTCTATATTAAAAGAAGTCATTGGAACATTTACAGCAGGGCATGGACCTTTTAGGTGGTTACTCGGAGGCAATGGAGTTGGTTGGCTAGTCATTTCTACTGCCTCTATTTAACCTTGGATTCGGTTCTTATGGCTGTCGGCAGTCCTATTTGCATCTTTAGCACAATGTTTTGTTCATTTTACTCACCTTGTGCTCTAAAATTTCACCTCTGAAGTCCCTCAGGAAGATTCAGTGCAGATCTTCCTCACCTCTGTTTTAGGATCTTGATCAACACTAGAATAGGCGACCTTGATTTTTATATGCATTCTTAACTCTGATTTCATTACTCCTGGAATATCATCATTCTGTAGCCTAGTGTGCACTCTGCATACAAAAGTACAGTGAGAATTTAAAAGTTTATTTCCAACTTTGATCACCCCTTCAGGACATAAGCTATTAAGAGCAATCCAGGATTTCTGATAAATAACAGTAAAGTAGTGTCTACATTTTTGGATGTAATTCGTAAAGTAGAAGGAAGCTTCTATTTATATAATCCTATATCAGAAATTCTATTAATATACAATGTGTGAATCACAAAGGCAACGCTGTGTTTTGTCCTAATTAGGGGGAGGTAGAATCAGCATCATATTTGAAGTACTTTGAGACTGTTTCTCAGTATTACTTTGAGGGTATTTCATTTTTCAAGCCCTATTAAAGTGTTGGAAGAATTCATAATTAAACTAACATCTTAGGTTCTGTCAGGATGGATCATTGTTCTATAAACTTTTGTTTTTCTGTCTTATCACTTTAAAAACCAGAGAGGATAAAACTAAAACAGGAAAGAGAACACCAATGTGGAGGGCAAAGGTATGTTGATTAAAGAGTTTTAGCAGTTGACCAAGCCCTAAATAAATAAGTATTGAATGCACTTAGGAACAGAGCATGGAAGAAAATTTCCTTAAGGGTCAGACCCAGAAAAACACTGACTTGTGGTAAGAGAAATGGATGTCTTGTCAGTTATAATAAATAAATATCAAATGGAATGTGTTCAAGTTCTAGGTTTTATCAGCTTGAGGAGTAAAATAAGGTCATTGGAATATTAATGCTAAACTGCCCTTTGAGCCCCTATTTGAAAAGTAAGGATTCCACACCACTTCCTCTACCATTTTTCCTCCTTGGAAAATTGATGGTATTTTCTCTTCCAAGCTCTTCTTTCTGCCTCTTCTGACAATGCCACATCCACAACACTGTTGTTCCTTCAAAAACCGCACCTCCTAAATCTCCCAAGAGAGATTCTGTATTCCGTGCTGGAGCAAACAGAATGCCCTCTGCCAAACTTGGGGTTTCAGAGTAGTACTGGATATGTTTTGGGCCCCAGAGCATCCCTTATGAGAATGGTCCCTTTAGAGTTTAGCTTTCTTCTCTCTCCCTTGAGAGAATCAGTGCAGAGTGGAGAAAGAGAGCATGTCAATTCCTGTATTTTCCTCTTCCCCAGCTCTTCCTCGGGGTGACCTTGAACAAATAAAACAAAACAACACAACCCCACTTTCCCTTTTGGACTTCATCAACGGTTTTCACTGGGACGGTCTAGTGGATAGGGACTACTCGACTCAGCTTTCCAGCTGGTGGGTCTTAGTGGAATATTAAGCATTTGATCACAGTCAACATTCCTGAGGGTCTTCCTCACTTAATACTATGGATCAAATTGGATTCTATTATGTTTGGGCATGAGCTAGAACTTTATTTTTTCAGAGCCTTATTCTATAAGGAGAAATAAAGCCTTCAGGGTATTATGTTAATCTCTTTTTAAATTTGAATTTTGAAAAGATTCAAAAATACAAAAGGAACAGAGACTCATGTAACTGACGCTCAGCTTGTACTCCAAGGTATAACAAATATTATTTGGCAATATCTGATTCACATTATTATTTATTTCAAAAATAAGATACACCTGAGGCCTCCTTAAGACCTCTACCTAATTCCATGCCTCTCCTTCTTCTCTCAAAGGTAACCACTATAACTTAAGGTTACATACATCTTTTCATAACATGTGTAATAAAAATGAGTATATGTTTAAATTATGCACAGTATTCTTGTGCATTTTAAAATTTCTCACAAATGACATATCTTTTTAGCTTTCTGTTCCCAGTAAACATTTAGACCTTAGGACTTACTCGATTTAATATACTGGCTATTTCCTGATTTACATCATTAAGTTCATTTTCTCTCATCCATATATATAGTCTGTGAACCTGGGGTGCACAGATCACAGAGGTTCTGCCCTGAGTTAGAAGACTCAGAATAGGTCTGGGTTAGAGTCAGTTGAAAGAGCTCCCTTAAAGCAGTTATTATCCTCAGGTTTAATGTAACTCTTGTTATTATTAACTCTTGGAATATTCAACCTAACAAAAAACAACTGTAACTCTAGAGACACAGACATTCCTGTGCCCCCAGTGTACTCAGTCTCCTAATCAGTATCTCCTCAGAAGTCAGCATTTGGCTATGCCCTAGCTAATTTTGCAACTCACTGACTGGCTCTGGATAGCATCATTTTACTAGATTTTGACAAAGCATTTGCCAAAATGATATGTTCCCATTTTTCATTCCATCTATAGTAGAAGGTTTCCCTTTTTTCCACATGCTCAATAAGACGAATATTTTAAGTTTTAATTTGTTTGCTCATCCTCCAACAGGTATGAACTATCTCATTATTTACATTGCAATTTTTCCACTCATTAGTGAAGTCAAGCATCTTATGTATTTATCAATAATATGGGATTTCCTTTTCGTGAATTGCCTTTTCTAAACTTTTGTCTATTTTTCTATTTTTTCCTTATTGATTTGTAAGAGTATTTATCTTACATACATGGAGGAGTACCAGTCATTTATCAGTTATAAAAAAGGGACAAAAATTTGTGTAGCTAAGTGCTACAGATACTATCATATACATCTGTAAAATTGTTGATGGTCATTATGGCAGCTTAGATATCAAATGGAATTAATATTATTTAGAATTTTGAATTTAGGAAAGGAAAGCCATTTGTAATTTCACTTAAGAAAGATACTCATGTGAAAATGACACATACAAAAATGTTTTCATGCTTAAGGAGATGTTTCAATTATCTAGATTATTTAGAAATGTAAAACAGTTTATTCCCACCACAAGTGTATAGCTGAAATGATCTTAGCTTAATGTGGTGGGTTTTAGAAATATATTTTCATTTGATTCATATTTGCAACAATATTCTAAATGTCTTCCAAATTCCTTTCATATAAAAGCAGTTTAAAGGCCCAAATGAAAAATTCAAGTACTATAGAGAACCATTCATAGCAATTTACTCACAGAAGGAAATTCACCCCTTGCCATGCTTTGGTTTTGATAATTTCTGTTGAAAGAGTGGTTACTCTGTTTTCCTCTTACCCTCCTTTTTTTAAAAAAATAACATTTGACTTTTCCTAGTAGAAATACATTTTTTAAGGAATATTTTATCTTGAATACTCTGACCCTAGAGAGTAAAGTAATTTAGCAGAGTTTCTCCCACTAGGGATTAGAATGGATGTTAAAGCATCCACAGACTTTGAAAATGAGTATAACGATGAATCAGGCCTGAAAATTCAGAAATGGAAATAGATGAATGACATTTCTATTTTATTGTCCTTGTAAATAAAAAGAATTGTGCTTTTGGCTTTCCTTTGCCATATGAATTGATTGTTACAAGATAACAGCTGAAAAAATTGTATTATAATTTTTGAGAATCAGTGAATCAGCAGCATTTTTTAAGTAACCACTAAGTTTACTTTCCACAAACTTCCACTGTGTATGTAGTTGTCCTTATTTAAGGAAAGAGGTGCCCACATTTTAAAATGTTCATATGTATCCTCTTGCACATCAACAAAGTTCTGGGAAAATGGAACAAAATCAAATTATCCTTGAGTCCATTGGTCTCTTTTCATAGCCTTTCTGATGGAATATTCTGGGTGTTCCATCTCCCCTCTTACACAGTCTTTTCACAAGTCTCCCTCCACAGCCATCTCCCCACCTCCAGTGTCTCAAGACAGAAGTGGAATGGATTGCATTCTGCCTGCATTCCAGATAGAAGTGGAATGGATTGGATCATTTCATTTACATTTTACTATGAAACAGCATAGATTAAAGTCTGCTATTCAACCAGCTATGACTTTAACATTTAATGTTAGGTCCATATTTATTGAGGCTTTCTAAAGGCCAGATGTCATCCAGTGCATTTGTATGCATTATCGCATTGAACCCCAAGGTAAGAGCTTACTATCATATTTTATATACAAAGAAACAGATTTAGAAGAGTTAAAAAAATGTGGCCAAGGTTTCACAGCTAGGAACTAGCAGAATTGGAACTCAACTCAGGATAACATGAAACCTGGACTCACATACACTATTCCACACTACCTTAGGCAGGTTTCAAAAACTTGCTCTGTTGCATACCATCACCATTCAAGGAGTAACGGTTTGCTTTCCTTGCTGAAGGTAAGTGGCACAAAGATCACTAAACTGGATCCACTCCAAAATGGACAGGCAGGCACACAGCTTCATTGAAATGTTGGGATACCCAGAGCCTGCCATCTTCCCTAAGGGCTGAAACAAGGGAGTATGAAAGAAAGATTGTCTAATCCACTCTTTTTCACTTTGTTTAACACAGTGATGCCACGCTTTGCTGAACAAGTGGAGGTTGCCATTGAAGCCCTGAGTGCCAACGTCCCTCAACCATTTGAAGAGAATGAGTTCATCGATGCTTCTCGCCTGGTATACGATGGCGTTCGGGACATCAGAAAGGCTGTGCTAATGATCAGGGTATGTGAGGTCTCTGTGGCTCGGAGCTGAATGGAACTTCTAGTAGGGACCCCAAAGAATTTACTCTTTGTTTTTTAATTATTTAGTTTAACTTGGTAAGCTGTTTAGCTCCTCATTTAGTCAGACAATGGGGACTTTTTACTTATAAAGGGATGAGTGATCCCAACAAGCCTAGATCAGCACTGAATATCCTGAAGGGTGATGTCCTGCCTACTTCTTACACACATTGTTGCCTAAATTTGATACCAACTTAGGGGTGCCCCTTCCATTCCTTATTGCCAACACTATTTCCCATTAGAATCAGAAAGCCATGCAATGGAAAGAAATGAAGATCACCCAGCTTAGTAGTATCAGTGATAATGATAATAATAATGATATTGATAATGACAATAAAGTGATACAGAGCTACCTTCTTCTTGTAACAAATAATTAAGACATTATAAATAAGGCTGAATAATCTTTCAGCAAACCTCCCCTATCACCTACCCTACTATCTTCCCATCCTCAGTCTTTTGATGTCAGGTAGGTGTGAGCCTTCCAAACCATTGTCTAAGTAATTATATATAGACACACACTAGAAAACATAATACAGCAGATTTTAAAACTCATATAAGTGTTATTTGCAACTTGCTTTGTTCACCCAATTCTATCTCTATGCAGACACATAGCTTACCTCATCCCATTTAACCACTGCACAATATTTCATCATGAGTTGAGAATATTTTTTCTCCTTGCCTTATCAACAATTTGGCACAGTAGGTTTCAAACACTTTTCTTAGCCACAGAACTCTTTCTTAGTAAATTTAAATACATGTTCAAAAGCATAATTGATGACACAGATATATTTGTGGGTATTAGGATTGAGGCAGAGAAGATGTGTCTGTGGTGCTAATCTTAAAAGCCTGCTGTCCAATGGAAATATAATGCGAGGCACATTTGTAATTTTTCATTTCTTAGTAGATGTGTCAATAAAGCAAAAAGAAACAGATGAACTAATTTTAATATATTTTTTTTACTCAAAGTATCCAAAACTAGCTTTTCAACATGTGGCACTGGCCACATTTTAAGTGTTTGATAGCTCCATGTAGATTGTGGCCACCATTTTGGATGAGGCAGCCCTAGACTGTATCTCCATCTTCAGCCTCCATAGCTGTCTCTGAGGCTGCTCAGTGAAACCATGAGTTAACTGCTGAGTACATCTTGAAACACTTTCTCTCAGGGTGATCACTGAGCATCTAAACTGACATCCCCTTAAACACAGTAACAATCAATTTATTTTCTGTGTGTGGTCCCTCAATACTTGAAGAAGTATCTGTGATTTATTGTTCTCTCTCTATAATACACACCTACACATTGCATAAATTGTATCAGACAATACTAGTTATACGTAACAATGTGGAGTTCAACTTTGGACTTTGGAGACTGTCAAATATATTTCCTGTTCTTCTAACTTCCCGCATTTTAGATCTGTCAAACTCTTACCATCTTTCAAGACCTGGCTCAAATCTTCTTTCCCTAAATTTTCTCCCTCAAAAATACTGACCCTATTCTTTAGCTACCTATAACTCTTTCTGCTTGTGATCATAATCGTTACACTATTTCTTTTAATGTCTATTACCTTCTTTAGACTGAAAGTTTGGAAAGCAAAGACTGTATTTTTTATTTTCCCTTCACTGTGTTGCATTGTCTGGCACAGTGCTTAATACTATGTGTGTTGGGGGAAAGAAAAAGAGAAACTATGCGGATGGGAAAGTGACAGAGAGAAAAGGTGTGAGAACTGGAGGAGAAGTAAAGGAAGGATAGTCAGCGTTTTAAGCCTGTAACAAATTATATTTTTCCCATTATATACTAACTTGTGAAATAAAGTAATAGACCATGAGAATTATGTTTTCAAAGCATTTGGCACTAAATTCTACTATAATTCTCAAGACATATTCCCTCTTTTGCCATTTTTCTGCTTTGTTAACTGTCACATTTTTGTGACAACCATTCATCTGGGAGGCTGAGGAAGTTTATAGCCATCATTCATTTATTCATTCATGACCTGTAATAAACCATAATTTTAGATAAAAATGCCATATCTTTGTTACATGAAGTGTCATTCCTCCATCTTGACATTTTAAGTGATTTGATCAGATGGATTTCACACCACTTAAAACTTAGGAAGGGAGAAATGTACAGTATGTACAAATTGTTATTTTAAAAATCATTCTCCATCCAACACCAGAATGGCTTCATTTTGTACTTAAATTCTTGGTTTGCTTTCTGTGTATGATGGTTAAGTCTGCTTAAAAAGAAAATCATTACACTAAGTCAGGAAGAAAGACAGTAAGACAAGTAGAGCTCTTTCTCAGCAAACCTGGCCATGCCTCCTTCCTCTCAAAGTATTGATTATGCTTTGGAAAAATAAGAATTTTTTCCCAAAAATAAATGCAGAAAGGACCTTGAAAGGTCAAATTCTCCATCACCTTGCCTGTCAGCAATCAATACATATTTAATGGTGACGTTAGTATGTAGGCACTCCAGGCCAGCTCCAGGCAACCCTCTGAAGCATACAAAGCTTGTCCTTCCTGTATTCCAACCTCACCTTTCAGGTTCATACTTCTCTTTGGGAGCAGGTCAACTCTGCCTCTGTTCCATAAAACAGTTTTTTTGTTTGCTTCTTGCCAAGGCTTGTCTTTGGTGATCTATCAGCTACATAGGAGTTTTCTGATTACCCTAATATGGTAGTGTAAAAAATGGATAGACAAATCTGGCACATCAACATATATTTGATTCTCATTATTTGCAGTAGTTACATTCAGTGAACCCTGAATTAAAGAATACTGAAACACTGCTTCTAGGGGGAATTCAGGGTTAGGTTCCTGTGAGCCTCTGGTCACAATTTCATCAACTGCTCAATATATTAGATTGTTTTATGTTTTTGTTTAAAGACACTTTATTTAATATATATTGTTGATACATGAACATTGAACTCATGGCCAACCACACTATAACTCACGCCTGAAGGAAGCTTATCTAACCAATGCATTTTCTCTGGAAGGTGCATCACAACCTAATTGCACTTAGGAATGCTAAACAGCACCTCAGCACATACCCTTGAAAGCCATTTTAAGCAGGGAAATAACAAAAAGCACAAAAATGCAAAAATGTGGCACTAAATAGACGGCAAAAAGGATACTTGTTTACAGTACAATAGCTGAAATAAGAAAGCAGAACATTGTGCTGGAAATTTGCATGTTGGGTGACTCAAAGTTTTTGCCACATTGCACACACATGCTCGTGAATAACTACAAAAGTATTGATTTAGGGATTATGAGAAACTTTGGTGAGTAGGCAAATTCACAAATAAAGAATCTGCAAATAAGGAGGAACAAGTGTATATTTAAGACACAAGGAGTTAAACATTTAATATTGGAAATTAAAGTAGCCTAGAAGATGGTAATATCTTGGTGTCAGAATATCTGTATTCAACAAAACAGTAGTTGCTTCTCATAGAATGATCACGACAAAAAATATCTGTACGTTGAACTTTTGTAATTGGAACCCATTAATTTGGTTGCATATGAAACTTTTGAAAGCAGGGAAGAGAAACAATAGGGCTTAGGACAGGGTTCAGATAAGATTCTATAGCTTAACTTCACACCTCCCAAAATGGCCATCAAGATGCACTGGAGCATTGCAAGGTATTTTAAAATGTCAAGGGAAACACATAAACATCTCTCAGATACTGTGTGACATAGTAGCTGAAGGTGGCTCACAGTTTAAACATTAGGTTGGTACATTCCTTTTGATCATATATTGATCCTATCATGTATTTGTGATGCAGAGTTTCTGGTGGTTGCTGTGATAAAAAACAAGCTCAATGGATGTTCAACTGTATTCCAAGGTTTGAGAAGTAATGCAGTATGCAACAGGCACTAAATTGTTAGGGCCAATCAACTTAATCCATTTTTATGATCTAACTGCTTAAGAAGCAGAACCATTAGTTTTCTTTTGTTTCTTGGCCTAGAGACACCATGAAAAAATTACTGAGACAATCTTTGAGGCAATAAAGTTTGGGAACCTATGACTTAACTATTTTGTGGTGGTTGGCATGCTAATTTCCTTCTCTACGCCTCAGTTTCCTTATCTGTAAATGGGGACAAATATTACTGCAGCTATAAAGTACTAGTATAGACCTGGCCTTAGTATGTTCCCAAGAAATATTTCCCTTCCTCAAACTTCTGGATGAAATTTATCTTCATACAATCAATTAATGAGATAGAATTTGTTAAATTAGTCAGCAATATTATCAAAATTGCAAAGATTGGAGTCAGAATATTTGTCATAGCTAGAAAATAAAGCATTGAAGAGACTTTAGAAACAACTTATGTGACAAAACTGATTTACCTATAATAGATTGCTGTTATCAACATGGTTCCATAACATTCCTAGTTTTGATTTCTTAACTCAATTAAAAATAATTTAGTATGATTTTTTTAAAGTTTTGGTAATTGGATCTTAGTCATTCATTCATTTAATGACTTAATTCATTTGTTGAATTCTTACTAGATGTCCTACTGTTGGAAGTGCCCTGAATACAGAGGTGAACAAAATAACAAAGGTTCCAATCCTCAAAGAATTTATATTCCTTTGGTGGGAGACAGAGAACAAACAAGTAGATATAACATACTAGTTAATGTGAAAACCAAGGCAGTATAAAGGGGATAGAGCACAGGATGGGTGTGGGTTTTATGAAGGGTGGCCACTGGGTGACATTTGGAAAGATACTTGGAGAAGGAGGAGGAAACAAGCCATAAGAGTATTAGGGGGCTTCCCTGGTGGCGCAGTGGTTGAGAGTCCACCTGCCGATGCAGGGGACACGGGTTTGTGCCCCGATCCGGGAAGATCCCACATGCCGCGGAGCGGCTGGGCCCGTGAGCCATGGCCGCTGAGCCTGTGCGTCCGGAGTCTGTGCTCCACAATGGGAGAGGACACAACAGTGAGAGGCCCTCGTACCGCAAAAAAAAAAAGAGTATTAGGGGAAGTGTGTTCCAGGCAGAGAGAATGGCACATGGGGCCTAAGAACCCCATTGAATGAGAGATGGGAGCCATTGAAGTTTTCTGAGCAGGACAATAACATGATCTGAGTTACGAGTTTAAGTGGAACATCCTGGTTATACTGGTGAGAATAGGAAATATGGTGTAAGGGCAGAAAAAAGGAGCTAAGTTAGCTCAGGAGCTGAGTAATACAGAATAGAGATGCCAGTGGCCAATCAGTCTTGATGAGGGAGATTTTGTTCTATATTGGCTTTAGGAAATCTTTAATTCTGCTTTCTAACTTCCAGTCCATTCCAGTGATTAGAGATCTGTTGGGAAATCCTTATTCATGCATCCCCCAAACTCTCCTGTTGCAGTTGCCAAATTGTGTCATCTTTCTGCTCCCAATGAAACACATTTACATTTGAGCTGTTCACTTAAATTGTCCTTACTATATTTTTCTCATCTCCTGGTGAAATGACTGTAAATTATTCAGCTTTTTCTCATTTTGCTTCTTTACAGAAGCTGTTGTAGAGAAGATTGAGCATTTGATTGGGAAACTGAGGCAGGTAGATTGATCTTGTATTGCAGCTGACATGTGGTGTGACCCTGAAAAAGTCACATGATATACTTGGGCTCTGTAATATGCACAAATTAATTGGATAGACTCTTAAAAGGGAGATATTTTACAGGCCAAATACTTTATTAGTAGAACCATGGAACCAAGGGTAGGTCAAAGTGGTTCTTTATTTTTATAAAAAGGCCTTCCCTGAGAGCACATAAGGGCAGAATTGAGAGGTTTGACCTTCACTCTCCAGCCTCCAGTCCAGTGAATTGCATATTTTTTCTATTCCTTTTACCCTATGACACTATCTAATGATACAAGTCTAATTATCTCTGGCCTATTTGCAGGCCATCAATATTTTTCCACGTCTCCTTTAATTTGTGGAGGTCCTTGACCAGTCAGAAATTAACACTCAAGATGAATAAGTTAAAAAAAAAAAAAACAACAGCATGGATAGGAGACACAATTACATGAAATTAGGAAACTTCACATGCACAGAACTATGTATATGGGTGGCTTGGATGGGTTTGCTGCACGGTTTAGGCACAAGAAAATATTTTAATCTCATCCATTTGTCTGGTGGTATTTGTGATGGTTAAAAGCACTGGAACCCTCAACTTGCTAGGTGTGGTGCCTTGGAAAATTTACCTAACAACTCTGAACCTGTTTGTACATCTATAAAATGGGGATTAAATTTATTTCATTAGGTCATTGTAAGTGTTAAATCCTTTAGCTGAATGCCTGACCCATGGTGGTTAGTAAAAAATGATTGCTATGATGATGATGATGATTGTAGCTGTTGTTACTAGGTGTATATTTTATTATTAAGCATAATAATGATCACTATCACTTATTACTTTAGTTTACTTTTATTGTTTACCAGGCATTTTCATATATATTTGATCCTAGAATCCTGTGAGGCAGGCAGGGCAAGTAGCAGTTATTATCTCCATTTTATGAGTGAGGAGGTAGAAAAGCTCTAAGTAGCTTGTGAAAGACACACAGCCTATCAGCGGCAGAGTTAGGCCCCAAATGTTCAGGTCCCCTGGGTCCATATCCAGGTTATCTTTTTTTTTTATTGTTTTTAAAATTTTTATGGGAGTATAGTTGATTTACAATGTTGTGTTAGTTTCAGGTGTACAGCAAAGTGAATCAGTTATACATAAAAAAATGAAATAATGCCATTTTTTCATTTTTAAATTGCATTTTGGCTCCTGAGCTGTAGCTGCTTGAATACAAGCTCATCATTATGAGCCTTATGCTGCCAGGTTACATTTGCCATTGACTCATCTACTGAATGTGCAAATCACTGCAATGTTTGGACACAGTACTATAGGTACTGTCATTTTCTCCTTTTTTCTTTTGAGTAAGGTTTTCCATTTTATTTTTCTCTGTCCTTTTCAAAAACTAATGATGAAAAGTGTCTACAATCTTGTCGTCTCATCTGTCAGCAGAATTTACCAACTTGCTGTAACTGTTCCTTGACACACTCCAGAAGAGTGAGAAATGAATAGATTCTTGTCTCTGTCCACAATGAAAATACTACCAGTTATGTGAACCAGGGTTTGCCCACCCCACCCATGCCTGAGTTAATAAAGCATGGGAACAAAACCTCTTTCTTTTAATATTCCTATGAAAGAATATTGAACATCTGTAGATGACTGAGTAAATATTAATAAGGTTGATGTGAGAGAGAAGGAAAACAAGAGGGATATGCTAAAGCTCGGAAAATTACTAAGCATAATGTGATATTGGCACCAAGGACCCCATTTTATGCCTGTCTGACCAATCTCAAGACTTCAATAACCACACCTGGTTAATTACACTGAGGTAGCCAAAGAAACCAGCAAAATTAGTTAAAATATGCCCTTTTAGATGGGGAATGGGCAACTGCATCATCAGTGCTGCTGTGATCTGTTTCTTCCTTTTGAAAGACAGAGCCCTGGGAGGTGGTGCTCCTATGTGCCAGGAGGCAGGTTGTGGGTGACCATCAGCTTTCTGGCTAAAGACAGTTGAGCAGAGAATGTCACACTAATGCACTGTTTTCCCTTCCTGCACCATCGTTGCCACCTAATGTGTTTATCCTCTTAGAATTAACACGGCATGGTAGTTTCGAGTACATGAGTCAAACTGCCTGCCCTAGAAGACTCTGAACAAGGTATATCCTCTCACGTCTCAGTTTCCTTATGTGTAAAATGGAGAAGATAGTGTCTACATCATAGGACTGTCAAGAAAACTGTGTGAGTTAGTGTATGTAAAGCACTTAGAAAAGTGATAGGCATATGGAAGGCACTTAAAGCATGTTATCCATTACTACTGTATACGCACAGAGGCCACAGCTCCCAGTTAGCCAAGCCACAACCAATCCACTTACAATCATTCTGTACCCAGACAACCATTCTGTTTTTCACTTTCAATAGAGTATTCAATAAATGACATGAGATAGTCCACACTTTATTATAAAAGAGGCTTTGTGTTAGATGATTTTGCACAACTGTAGGCTAATGTAAGTGTTCTGAGCATGTTTAATGTAAGTTAGGCTAAGCTAAGATGTTCTATAGGTTAATGTATTGAATGCATTTTTGACATGATATTTTCAACTTACAGTGGGTTTATTGGGACTTAACCCCATTGTAAGTCGAGGGAGATCTGTATGCTGATTTTTCTCTTTTCCTCTGTATTTTTAGACCCCAGAAGAACTAGAGGATGATTCAGACTTTGAGCAAGAAGATTATGATGTACGTAGCCGGACAAGCGTTCAGACAGAGGATGACCAGCTCATTGCAGGACAGAGTGCACGGGTGAGTGGACATCCAGGACTTTGGTTTGGTGCACAGGGGCTGTGTTCACCAAATTGGTTTGAGGGAATTTCTGATTTCCAGGGACCTGGAATCCCATAGATTCATGGCTTAGAAATCTGTGCCTCATCTGGGATTGTTTCTAGCAATTCACATTTTACACATTGGAAGTGACCACCACTGATTCTGATTCCTTCTAACTCCATTCTCTCTCCATAACTCAAAACATAGCAGCCACATTATAGCAAAACTTATGTGTATGGTGGATTTGTTGGGGGTTGAGGATCATGATTAGATGATTCAGTGACCAGGGGATATAGGAATGCTCAGATCTTACTTTGGCACAGACACCATGGTTCTGCTTGAAGTCTGCAACCTTCTTAACCACACAAAAGAAACCACAAATGGAGAATTAGAGTACTACCTTGTTATTTGTGGGCCTATTATTGCTCCATACTCTGGCCTAGGGTCTCTGATAAACAATACCACATATTTTGAAATTTGTTCAAGGCCATCAGAGTAGAGAGAGAACGTTTTTCCCCCAATACCTATCTATGGCCAGGGCAGTAGCCCCAGATCTGTCTACCATGTGATTGAAAAAGAAATTACAGAGACATACGAGAAACATATCAGCTTAAGGTGTGGAGCAAGAAGCAACAGAAAGATCACCACTCTGGCTGACATTTGAACACCCTTGAACACTCTGTGACATTGTCCACCAACACAAGTCTTCCCCAGAAGATTCTGGAATCTGACCAATCTTATTAGCTGTAGCTCCTTGAGGGTAAGATGTTGGTAATCAAGGCAGGTGGCAGGAGATAAAATTCCTAGGGATTGCAAGAGGGCGAGATTCTCCTCCCTTTAAAGGCTCAGTTTCCATAGGGCAAAAATAATCAAAGTATAGTATAACTGAGAATTAGATATTCTAATTTTCTTTGTTAAGTTTCACTTAAAAGAAAGTGAATAGGAAGTATGAGAAAGAGATGGTAATTTAGCATAGGGTTAAGAAACCCTAGGAAGTTCACACTGGCTTAGGAATTGTGAAAGAAGAGTAGGAAATAGCCAATCAAAGGTTAAAATAAAGAGAACTCTGACTAAGCTTTATGTTGAGTCAAGAAAGTCTTTGTACTTAAAATCTTATTTCTCCTGATACGCTCATCCAACAACTAAATGATACAGAATATGTATATGGACATTGATAGGGGTAATGTGAGAGTAAAAGCCAGAGCATTGAAGATGCATTGGCTTTGATTTCAGACAGACTTGGGTTTGAATTGTGAAGAGTAGAGTGGGGACTATGCTGTTACATGCTGCTTAATTTCTCAGAGCTTCAGTCCTATCATCTGTAAAATGTAAATAATAGACTTGTTTGATAAGATTCTTCTGAGGTTCTAATTACTTAATATATTAAAATAATGAGCAAAATACTTGACATATATTAAGTGCTCAATAAGGGATGACTTGTCATCCTTTGGCAGAGAAATCTCTTCTAATCACAGGCTGGTAACAGTAGAAAAGTGCACAAAAGAGTATGAAGCTCCCTACTTTAAAAAATACCTTGTAGACTCTATTTACTCCCCTTAAAATGTTGAAAACAGGGAAGTTAAACTGAGAGTCCTCTGAGCCTATGCTGGCATAATGCTAAACTAAGGCATCAGTCAAGTCAATTCATCTTCAAAATTAACTAAAACCAGCATTTTTATGTCAATGACAAAGGGCAAGTTTGAGTAATTCACCCAAACATTAATCAACTCAAAGTCAATTTAATTGACTGACTGCAACTTAGTATTGCAGCCCAAATATTCATTGACTTGTTTTCTCAAAGACTAAGGCATATTGTACAACCTTTATCTTATAATCTTTTAATTACCATCTTGTCAAAATGGCATGATTAGCCTCATTTTTTACAAGGAAGAATACAGTCCCATTATACTTCCATTACATTAGACATCAAGCCTGTTATGATGGGTGGAAACAAAAGTCAGATGGCACCTCTCTACATCATTTATTATTTCTTCACCCAGTGGGTGAAAAGACAACAATAGTCTTTTTCAAAAGATTTTTCAGCATGAGTGATGAACATGGCCCGGATAATAAGAACAAAGTACCCCTGTAATCCAGCACTTGCTGATTTGTCTTTGCGATCTATCATGAGGTCTGTGTGAGTAACTTGCAGCAGGCAGCATTAGTTATTGAGTCAGCCTATTTAAGCCTATAATTATATGATGACAAATCAGAGACATAGAATTATGGCTGTAAATTGAAAATAAGAGGGTGCACTGAATTGATGAGATGACAGATGGTCGAACTTTTGACCAGAGAAGTGTGTTAACTTGGTCGAAATTGTGAAGGAGGCAAAAGTTGTCTCTGACAGAGGCAGTTGCTCTTTCCAGCAGCCTGCTCTCCCCTGTTACTTTGTGTTCTCATTCAGAGAAATTCTTCTCTGAAAATGGTAAATTAATCTAAGAGGAGGTGATGGTGGGAGAAAAGAATTTAGTACCCACTCCAACATTGCTCTCAAATTCTGAAATTAGAGTGAATGTTTGTTTCCTTTATGTGTTCCTGTCTGCTGCTTGTCTACAATACTTTAAGAGAAAGAGAGAGAGAGAGAGGGAGAGAAAATGAATGAGAACAATCATACCCTGATCTGATGAAATATAGAAATGATCAGGCCCTTTGTTCCTAAACATGACATCTTATAAACTCTTTCCTCACAAGCTGACATAGTTAAAATTGATCAGCAACAACTCTTGGGCATTTAACCTTCATGATAAAATATATTGTTTGGAGTCACACAAACCTGATTTTAAATATGAACTTGGCCAAGCTGTGCGGCTTTGGGGTAACTTTCTTAACATGTCCCTGCCTCATCTCCCTGTGTGTGTGTGTGTGTGTGTGTGTGTGTGTGTATTTTATATATATATAATATATATACAGCATCCTACTTCATAATGTCATTAGGAGAAATGCGTGATGAAATGTATCACGAGTTATTACATGATGTTAAGTTTAATGAAAAAGATGATGATGATGTTTGTAGGACAAGGTAGTCATTCATTAGAAGGCTGACCAATAATTTAACCTGAAAGAGCTAGATAATTCAGACCATCATGAAAGTTTTAATTTGAATTAATGAGACAAGAACCTCAATTTTCCAATTCACTTCACAGCCTGAGACAGGTAAAAGTCACCCACTCCTTAATTACTTATGCTTATTATCCTGCTTTAAAACCAAGTGAGTAGAAATGGGCACATTAAATTTTAACCTTTTAAATCATTATTTATAAACATTTATGTACTTAAAGCCTTAAAATGTAAGACTCTTGCTCTGTGTTTAAGAAACTAACATATCAGTTAGGAGGTCCGTGGACTTTAAAAGTCATTTTTCATCTTGGGATTGGAAAAATAATGCTTTTGAGATTGGAAAAAAGCTCTTTGAGATTTAGATTGAAGAAAAAGATTCTGGGCTGAGTGGTCGTTGGCTTGTGTCAGTGATTTGCACTTTCATTTAATAAATAAAGTTTAAAACAATCACAAAAAAGTGGTTGGATGTTCAAAAGAAAGGCTAGGAGCATGGAACAGGATGGTTCGAAAACTTTGTGAATTCAAGTCTCTGATGCCACTGACTTGGGGCCCCAGATCAACAATCTGGACAGCTGTGCTTAGCTACACAGAAAGCAGCCAAAAATCTCAGACCGCCCGAGGTGACCACATGACACAAACAGAAAAGCTGATTTGTTGTCTTTCCCTTTGGCAGTGAAAATCATTTTTCTCATGTTTCCTTAGTTTGAGGGAATGAACAATTGCATGTCATATATTTTGTATTCAACTTGATTTGAATGTAGCCAGCCTCTAATTTTTTTTTTCCTAGCTAGAACGGCTTTAATGTGTTAACATTTCAAACTGCTGAGTTACATTGATAAGACCTAATTAAAACTCATGTGTTGAATTTTAATTTGATTAACTTGAAAATTTCACAGTTTGTGATCTACTGTTTATAGATAACCTTTTTTAAATTTCAGTTTCAGAAAAGGTCAATTATGAATTTTTAAAAGCTAAGAGCATTTTAATAATATTTAGAAAACAACTTTACTTCATCGATAGCTACATAAGCAGAAGCAAATATAACGACTCTTACACCCAAATCACACACCATTAAGTGCATTATGCGGGCGGAGCACCCCTAGAGTCAAAATAACATCTTCTTATACAAATCTGCTTTAAGGAGCCAGTTTTTCTTCGGAATTGTGTCCTTAGAAAACGTATGTCAGTTCTGTTAACTTCTCTCAAACTATGTTGATGCAGTGAGTGGAAAAATGGGTAAGCATTCAATCAAGAGATATGTATTTAGCTTTTACACTGTGCAGGATGCTGGGAACTCTACCCTCAGGAAGCTCAAAGAGAAGTTGGAGGTAGGGCATTACTCGAAATTAGAGAGTTAGAGCAAGAGAGTTAACGTTCAAATGCTAAACTGCACAATGTGAAACTCAAGTGATACAGTTGATAGACACTTGTACACCCTTTAATGCACAAATTAACACTTTTGGGACAATGACAGTTTTATTGCTAGAATCTGGAGATTGAATGTAGAGTATGGAGGTCTGTCAGGTAGTTTTATAGATTCTTTTACAGAGAAACACCTAATGGATGCTTTAAATGATGCTGGTTAGGACTTGTGAGGTTTAAGTAAAACATGATTATCAATTTTGTATGAGGAGGACAGATGAATCTAAGACAGCATTAGAACATCAGACAGGGATGCTTCATGAAACTTCTGCAAATCCAAACCTATCTCAAAGGTATTGGAAATGCTAGCTGCCTTGCAGTTAGTACGATATTGCATATGTGAGTTTATAACAAGCTATTTTGTATATTAGCTATCTTTAAAAGTACTGTAAAATATTTTTCAAATATTAGTATTTTAATACTTTATTGTATTTGCACCAGTCTGGCTTTTAAAATATGGATTGTAGTTTTTGTGTACACACGCACACACATATTGATCTACATAAGTATATACATACATCATAAACACACAATCACATGCTATTTGTATAAAGTCACACACATACATGCATGGGATTTCATAGACATGGCGGTCTATTAGTAAGATGTAGCATCTGGGAAGCTGCTGGTTCAAGGACCCTTTATGCAAATCAGACAAAGTCACCCCTTTACCCTGGGCAGATGAAGGCTTGTCTAGGATGCTCAGCCTGGTGGACAGAGCCTAGAGTTTTAGTGATCTTTGCCCCACTGGGCTGGGACCACTGGGCAGTGTCTAACCCGCATGGTCCTGCATGGTGATCCCATTGTGCACAATGGTTAAGTATGGTGTTAGCTGACGTGGGTTTGAATCCTATTCTTATAGCTCATTAGTTGTGTAATATTCAGAATTTAATTAACTTCCCTGGATCTTGGTATCATCATTAATAAAATAAGGGTAATAATAGTATTAATCTTGTAGAATAATTAAGTAGATTAAATTTTTGACATTCATAAGCCTTTTAGTATAGTACCCAGTATACATGCCTATGTTCAAGGAATCATGTCAATCTTCTGTTTATAGAGAGTCACATAGTCTCTGAGCCCATCCCTTCTCTTTGATGGCAACTAACTAATAAGCTAGAGGAGCAGCTAGAAGAAAACTCATACAGAAATAACGATAATGTAATGTTAACAATAATCCCACACATGCTTACTTTGATTTTACATTTATTATTTCATTTTCTGTCCACCATAACATTTTGAGGTAATTATTTACTATTCTTATATTATAGAACGTTAAGGATGTGATCCAGTAGCAATGAGGCCTTAACCCAAGTCGGTTACAGATCCAGGTTGAGCCCAGTTTTTCTGAGCTTATATCTACTGATATTTCTATTAGATACCAGCTACCTACCTCTCCTTTGAACAATTCACTTACATTGGGAGGAACTTTACAATATAGAAAGAAGGTTTTTTGTGCTATTTACTTGTCCTTTGCAACAGCTGTCAGTACCCCAAATCATACTCTTCTGGAGAATACATGCATCCCAGAATGAGAGGGATATCAGTGCTGACACACTGATCCACGTGGTCCTTTCAGTGAAGCAGGTTGCAAATGGTTCTTTGAGGATGCAGTGAGGTGATGTCAAACATTTCATTCAGTGCCTGATACATAAATAGTGTCTAACAAATACAGTTGATTCTCTTTATTCACGGCCCTTATGTTCTATAAAGTCACCATGAACGCTTAATTAGCAACTACGGAATCATTGCTCCTAGGGGAAATACAGGGTTAGCTTCCTGAGAGCTGCTAGTCTTAATATTTCCTTCAACCCATCAATATGTAATCTTGTTTAACGAGTGTTTCTGTTTAGATACCTTATTAGATAGTTTTGGTTCATGAACATTGAGCTCACAGCTGGGAGCACTAAAAGTCATGCCTTAAACGAAGTTCATCTAATACATGTATTTTCTCCATTAGGCACATTGCAACCTTTTTGTGCTTAGAGACACAAGACAGCGTTTCAGCACTAGGATTGGGGGCCAAGTTAGACAGCAAAACCACCAATAAAAAGTGCAAATATGTGGAAAATGTTCTACTAAATAGATTGCAGAAAGGACGCTTCTTTATGGTATGAGTGCTGAAACAAGAAAGCAGAGAAACCCTTGTTCGGCCTCATCTGGGAACATGGTTGTCGATGACTCAAAACTGTGGCATCTCTGCATATGTTTGTGAATGTCTGAAAGCACCACAAATATTGATTTGGGGATTTCAAATAGATTTTAGAGAGTAGGCAAATTTGCAAATAAAAAAATCTGTGAATAGTGAGAATCAACTGTAGTTTTTCCTTTTCTACATTCCCTTACCTAGCAACTATTGAAAATCAACCTTTGCTTCTTAATCCTAAATTTTATCTCATCACAGCTTCCCTGTACATGCTCATAGGCTCTCCAGGGAGCCATGTTCAACCCAGGATTTCCATACAGGAGGACTGGGAATAGGTATGCCATCCCTGATGTGCCCTGCATAAGGGATTTTTGTTTGGCATTTAACCATGAATGGCTTTTAACACTCACAGGACATCTCCCCACCCCACTTGGGATACTCAGATATTCTTTAAAATTATTTTCCTTCCCAGCAACAGAGGCCTGCTTTCTTTTTTCTGAACAGATTTCAGTGTTGAAAGAGGTGCATTCTTTCATCTGGTAGAAGTTTCCCAAGACCAAATATAAAAATCGTCAGGAATAGATTCTTTTGAACAAACATATGTCATCACAGCGACAAAGAAGTTCTGTTACTGTCAATGTGCACGTACCTTTGGATCTCTTATTTTTTTGTATGTTGGAACAGGGACAGGGAATGTGGGGACCTTACCAGTCTGTGCTTTTGCATTCTTGGGGCTGGAAAAAAGTACTTTCCAGAATGGTGGGGCAGCCTATCATCCTTGTCAGGGTCTGGCTTTGCCATTAACTGGAGGCAGAGTCACCCTCCTGTCTGTGCTTCTTTGTCACCATTAGTCACACTTTTTCTGTAACCCACACAGGCCATCATGGCACAACTACCGCAAGAGGAGAAGGCAAAAATAGCTGAGCAGGTGGAGATATTCCACCAAGAGAAAAGCAAGCTGGATGCTGAAGTGGCCAAATGGGACGACAGCGGCAATGATATCATTGTGCTGGCCAAGCAGATGTGTATGATCATGATGGAAATGACAGACTTCACAAGGTGAGGCCTGGAGACAGGAAGAGGAAGATTTTCTCATTAAAAATAACAGAAGCATAACAGTGTGTATTAGCATGTGAAAAGCCTGCTGAAAAATTAAAAGACTATATCAAAACAAGGTAGTGGTATTATAAAATTTACATGTGTAAGTCAAAATGATCTGGACCTGGTTCTTAGCAGATAGGTCTTTTTGGTCAAAAAGAACAGATTCATTTCTGTAATTATTATTGTTTTAATTATCCATCCTAAGTCAGTCATAAAATCAAACCCCTGGGGCTTGGGTGATTCATTTTTGGTCGATGCTGTTTTGCAGTGTGTTTAAGTACTATTCTGAAGATAAGGTGTATGATTTATTAATACCCCTTTGGAAAAAATCTATATCTATATATATGTGTGTGTGTGTGTGTGCATGTAGACATGTAATATGGTTTAATGCTAGCTCATGATTTAGCATTAATCTCAGCTCATATTTTATCCTTACACACAAAGAATCAGGTTCAACTCTCTGATTCTGTAATTTTGACAAGGAAATTAAACGTTGTATAAGTTTTAGATCCTTTTGCTCTGAGCAGTGCTTTTAATAAATCAAGATACCAGTCAGAATTTTGTCAGGAGCCTTTTCCTCATCAGGGGTCATTGCTGTTTCTGCCATTGCATTTTTAGTTTCTTCTTTAAAGGAAGATGACATTTCTGCCCTTCCTACCACCCAAAGGGCAGACAAAGGGAGAGCAAAGCTCAATGAAAGATCCCTGGATTTTTAGTCCAAATACCAGGTGATTTTGGACCTGTCTCGTACTGTCTTTATTCATTTGTACAATGGGAAAATAATACTCTTCTTATCAACTTTCACAGGAGAGTTTTAAAATCCAAAGAGGTAATGAAGTTATAAATTATGCTGCCATATGAATGAAAGCTATCATTTTTCTGTAGATTTCTTTTTCTGAGAAACACAGACACACACAGACACATGAGAAAAGATGTTTTAATGATTCAACACGGTATTTGTTATTAAAGTTATATAAGATATGTGGCAATGTGAAGACACTACCTTATGGGTGACAATTTTTTAAGTGATTGTTGAGTGCTTTTAATAAGAAAAGCCTACAACTAATTATAGGTTATAATAAAATATGACACATCTCTGCCTTTTTCCCTTTACCTTTATGTACTAATGACATCACTTGGTCCTTTCTCCAAATATTTAAAAATTGTTTTTGACTTTAGTGGAATGACTTTAAAGTTATGAGGGTGACCTTCGAGATTTTAAATGTCATTGTATTCATTAGAAGTTCAAATTTGTACAATTGGCTGGTCTTTGTCGGTTTCACAGATTTATTTCACACAAAAAATAATAGTAGGAGAACTCAGTCTGAGCCATTATTTAAGTCTAAATTTCCTACAAATCAGACTATCATGGCAGCCCACAGTCATTGCTTTTCAAGTCCTGTGATGACTTAATTTGCTTGCTTTCAACACTGTATTCATACTTTATCTGATGGATATTATACAATCCATTAATAACATCACTTGAACAAATAATCTCATTAATTTAAAGTGAATGAGGAATCAAGTCATGTTGCTAGTTTAGATCAGGGAGACATATTATAATGCTCTAGATTATATATAACTGTGTCAAGGAAGAGAGATATACTTTAGGGGGTCTTGTTAGATGATGTTAAATAAGACAGACTTTCTATCAGTCAAAGTATAGTTTTAAAAGTGAAAAGAGGGCCACTTCAGTTCCTGAGGGATTTTATATAATCATTTTATGCTGATTTGAATAATGAAATGTCTAGAGTGCTACTAGTTATCATTTTTTTCCACTGCCTGATGAGTAGTTTTGTGCCCCTTTGTGAGGGCAAAGGGAGGATACAGTTAATAGCCAGAGAAACAGGAGAGAGTGTGAATTGGACAGCACAGGAAGCTGAGGTTTTGCTGCTGCCCCCATCTGCCATGCAAAGAGGTAGCTAATTTGAGCCTTTCTTTGTGCCTCTCCCATAAGTTCACTGCACTTGACCCTATGCATTATTAGCCTTGCATTTTCCACTTTAAGAAGGAATAATTTCAGCTCTATACCTCTAATGGCTCTTACATACTATGTTCCCTTATTTAAAGGAAAGGATATAGCTGAATAGGAATTGAAACTTGACTACTTTCTTCAGATCTTACGTTTAAAGGGTGTTTGGGTACAGGAAAAAAAAAAAAAAAACCTTGCATTTATTTTGTTGTTTTATTCTTATCAGTAGCTAATTCATTAATTTGATTCAGTAATCTCAATGATATCCACTCCATTATTATTAAAATTGGAGAGATTCTGCCTCATTATTTGTGTAATAACTTCTTCATGGCGGATAAAACTGATTATGCCTCATGTCTGTTTCCTGTTCAGTTCTTGACTTCCAAGAACTGAACAGGAAACAGTTCATCATCTCATGGTGATGGCATAAATGCTGTCCTGCATAGGGTAAATCCATACCTCTCATGTCACTTTCAGAAAGAAATAGCATGGGCCAGTCTTGTATCCCAATAACAAAAGGTGTGCAGATGGCAGCAGTTCAGGAAAGAAACCCAAGTTTAATTGTACAGCAAGGGACAAAGCTGTCTCTTGAGATCAACTGTAAGTTCTGATCTTGAAAGGAACTGGGTTCAGGCTAAAACAAAAAGCTTTCAGGGCACAATCTACTGCTACAGTAAAGAATCATGTAATCAGCCTGCTATTCCCAAATTTCATTCCTGCCTTGGTATGGACACTCAGGGCTTCAGCCCAAGTGACAGCTTGACTGGTCTTTCAGTTCCAATTCTTGACTCTTGTCAGTTCATGCCATGTCATATCTGTCCATTAAAGGACATCCATATAGCTCCCTTTGCACCAAAACTTTCTTTCCTCTTTTCATATAATAATATAAAAATCTTGAGTTTGCTATCCAAGGCCTACCTTTATTGACCCTTAGATTCCTTCTCAATTTTGTGCATATTTGTATTTCTACTTCAAGACCATCATATAAATGTTACTTCCTTGAATAATTCAACTTATGGTCCTACAGTCTCACCTGATTTATCTTTAATCCCCAGATTAATACAACTTTTCCACTGCGCTGTCTTTAGACTGCTTCAGCTAATTGGTGAAAGTGGTATTTCCCAACTATGTTTTATGGACTGTGGTTCTGAAAACGGGCTTCTATGATTCAGTACATTTACAAATATACTCCTTACTTACTATATCTCATTACTGGAGAGTCACATCATATATTGATCTGTTAGAGGTACTGAGAAAACTATAGTAAATAAATGTTTTTAATTTGGATTAACTCAGAATTTAAGCATTCTGGGTACTGAGTACATTGACTCAGAATGCACTCACACATTGATTTTTCTCATTAATACCTATTACCTTTTCATGAAATAAATATGAATTAGTTGTTAAATTGTGGATAGCAGTAATGTAGTAATAGCTTTCCATGATTCTCTTTTTTTTTTGAAGTGACCATTTCCTGGGAAAGCTTCCAAATATTGACCCTTGTATAAGAATCACCTATTAGCAAAAGAGAGAAGGTTACATGAACCTATACAGTAGAGCCAATTCTATGGCTTGACATTTTTCCAAGAAAACTAAAAACATGTTCCAAATGGAACAATAAGATGTCTTTTGTCTTTAAGGTCACAAGATTCCTCAAAGCACCTTTCAAAATGCCCAAAGGAGAGAACCTGATTAAGTTA